CGGCAACTGAGGCCATTAGCTGTAGTAGGATTTGTATTGTAGGTTTGTTTGTATTGTATATTTTGGGACGGTAGGGGGAACACGTGTGTGTTTGTTTTGGCAGAATTTCGAATGGGGCACCCGTAGGTGTCTGCCATGCCCCGGGTGTGGGGGATAGGAGCACTTGTTCTCCGGTCACCGCGACTTGTCCGGAGAAAAATGCCGCCCGGTAGCCGAGGATCGAACCGCGACCGGCTGCGTCGCAGCGGACGCGTCAGACCACTCGGTCACCTCATCCCCTAAAATATTTATTATATTTTTAGAACTGTGTTTAATTAGTTTTTTATAATACATCGAATTATCTGTTTAACTCTGTACAAATGAGTAGTTAAGTAGAACCTAATATTAACCATATTGGTAATTTTGCATATGAACAATTTACTGTTCATCTCACATATTATATTTAATTTCGTAATATATATTATATCATATTTTATTGCTTCAACAACTACTTAGTTGTATATAAATAATATATAGTACACGGTGGTTTTGATCAAAGTGTGTTAACAACAACTACCTACCTACAACTAAGATAATAACTTTAAAAAAAAATACCTATCGATATATTGTCATAAACATGAATTATATTGTTCGATGAATTAATAGTTTCAGTTTATCGTATAATATTAAATTACCTATTATTATTATTATTATTGGGTCTCTGTGAAATTGAATATTTTTTTTTGTATATTATTAATAACCAAATGACGACTTTTATAAAAAAATTTAATACGAACAAAATTTCAGTTAGTCCGGGGCTAATTTCTAAATAAATTGTGAAATTTACTAAAATAAATCGACTGCACTGGTTGTTGACTATAAATAGACACAGTATGTCGCTTATTGATATAGTTTTAAGTTATCGTTTTGGAAAATATTTTTATAGTTGGTATATACTATACTACCATGTAGTGTATAATTTTTTTCATATTTGTATTTTTGAATTTTTGTAAAGTCCACTAATATTATTATAAATTATATTCGAAAAGTTTCTGTCACTGTTTTTTTTATTTTTAGAAACTTTCAAGACACCAAACTTAACTTAAAATGTTTATGTGAATCACTTGTATATTTTTTTTACTTCGGATATCATACTTGTTTTGTCAGTTATATGACACTTCGTAAGTGCAGAATCTTGTTTACACAATTACCCAAACATATCGATTAAAAATGAAATCGGTAATTTATGTCCAGATTAGGTTCTGATTTCATTACCTGGAATTCACAATGTGCACACTGTACATAACATATTTACCTAACAAAAACAATTATGATTATATAATATAATTATTTTTATGTAATTAAAATTATCCAAAGAAATGTTGCTTACCTATTTAATTATTTGTGTTAATAGGAATGGCAAGTTATTACGATTAGTAAACATATTATATAAATGTTTCCCAACAAAGCTAATAAGCTATTTCATTTTTTCAATTTATATATTAGTAAATATGGTTTCAATAAATAGTTTACTTTTTAGTTAAATCGAGTTTTTTGAGATGATTTTAAGAATGCAATACAAACATTTTTATGTAGTAAATACACAGTTTAAAATACTTTTATTAGTTTAAGCTGTTTGATTTATAGTTGCATGTTCAAATATTTTCTTAACATATTAAAATTAAACCATGAATAAACATGTCACTGATATAAAAAACCATAGTTAAAATGTTAAAAAAAATCTCAAGAGCACTTCACATGGAAAATAGATGATATAGTTATGAACATATATAATCTATATTATCTAATATAAATTAGAATAACAGGTGAGATAACTCACAGTTACAATTCAATAAATTAAAGGTAAACAATTTATAAATTAAAAATGAATTGAACTAATAATGTATTATGCGTCGTTTAGTCATTGTGACATACGACAATATTACTATTTTAGTGCCATCAATTAGAAACGTAACCTGCCAGTTTTTTATTATAATTTTATTTCACACGGGTGTCATAGTCTGAACATAATATAACATTGATATATTTTTTAAAATATAAAATCATATACTCCACAGTAGAAACTGTCGTTGTATTAAAAAACAATTTAATTTATACTTGTGAAAAAAACATTTAAGTACATTTGTATACAAACCATTATTTAATATCAAGTAAAGTTTTTTTTTTTTTAATTAGGCAGAGAAAATATGAATTTGAGCGGATTACAAATTGGGATGACAAAAATAACGAGATTTGTAATTTTTAAATGTATTTTTCATTTTATTTCACATACTGATTACAATAAACTACAAATCATGTTTAATAAATACGTAATGAAATATAAACTACAACAAAAAAGAAAATGTGAATTAGATTTTACTTAATTATTGACATACATTTTTACTGTACAATATAATTTATTAACACCAACAAGGAACATACATGTATTATATTTATATACATACAACCATGCTTACATACGTACATATAGATATTATATATATATATATATATGTATATATGTTTATGTTTATTGTATACGTATAAATATTTATAATTATTTCAAAGCAGACAAAAAATTCCATATTTATTCACCCCTATAGAATAAAACATTTTTTTTTCGTGACACGTTCACAAAAGAGAAAAGGAATATTTGTAGTGTCGAAAGCAAACAAAACTTAATATAAACATTATAAATAAAATACCTTAAAAATAATTACATTTAATTTTTACAATAGTTATTATTTTTTTAATAATAAAAGACAGTTTTATATCCTGTAGGTCCGTCTATATGCATACATAAGCTACATTGTCACATTTACAACACAGGATTTCAATATTTGTTATCTACTTGTCGCAAGCTATGAAAGGCATAGTTTTTTTTGAAGAATGTCGATGTTTTTTATTTGAAGATTATTATTGAAATACCTAAATAAATGAAAATGTAATGATCATAAGAAAAACTATTTTTTTCAAATTTACGATTCAAAGATTTATTTTGGTATCTCAACTTCTATTTTTTTTCGTGTGGATAATCAAATAATAATGTTATACTTTTACATAATTCATAGTTCTATAAATTTTATAAAATTGTACACAACAACTTTTTGGCAATTATATAATTACTGTAGTAACTTAATGAGGCCTACTTACAATAGGTACCTATATGAAATACTTGTAGTTTTTACATTTAATTTTAATGGACATATTTTGTTGTGATGTATTATAGGTAATCATTATTAATCAAATTAATCAAACATATTTTTGAAGTATTGAGGGTGATTTTTTTTCGTTATTCATTAACATTCAATTTTTTTATAAAACCTATAATATTTTATGCATACGAAATTTAAAATACCTACTTTAATAACATGATATGCCAAACCTACATTTAAGAATTTTTTTCAAGTTGTAATTACCTCTCTTAAAAAAAAAAAATCAAAAACTAAATATTTAAATTGTAAAAAAAAACATAATTAATAAAAATGATATGTGTAAAAAATATAGTTTAAATTAAATAATACGAAGGGTTTTCACTAACCCTGAGTTATTTTTGAAGTTTATGGAGCAAATAGATGAAAGCTGATCGATATGGTGTGATGATTTTTTTTTTCACATCACTTTTATTATTTTTAATTTTTAGTTAAAAACAGTACAAAGTTATAAAGATGTATATAATTGTAATATTTATTGTCTAATCGTCTTCTTTTAAAAATAAATATAAAATGTTCTCATTAAACAAAAACAATTATTTTTTAATAACATCGGACACTAATATAACTTTAATATAACTTTTATAATTTAATAGAGGTTAACAAGAAATACTAAAATTTATAATACTATAACACTATCAACTTAATTTCTGTTACTTATACCAACTATTCAGCTAAAAGGTAAAGATAAATTTTAATTTTAAATTGACCTTTTCAAAATATTATTTATACATTAGGTATATTTTTTTAATTGATCTTCATTTCTTTTGCTTTTATCTTACATTTATAACTTTATCTGATATAATTTGTATATAATTTTATTGGAATTGTTGTCATTAGAGAGAAAAACAAATTGTGCCTAACTTATACATTTTATGTAATATAATGTGTTGTTTTAATATCATATTATCATAAAGTGTTGTAAAAAAAAGATCCAAGGATTATAAAATTAGATGTAATTAGTTTAAGACGTCTAAGTTATAAAATAATAATTTAAATTTTAACAATGAATATTAAGTTATTGATACTTAATATTCATCATTCAAAAGTTATTAATTAATTTTATAGTTTAATGAGATTGTAGGAATTCATGTTTATTAATAATTTTAAACTCAACAATTAATCAAATTACAATCTAATACTATAATTTAACAGAAATACAATATATTTATATATTTTCATTAAAAACGTGTATTTTTTTTTTTAGAAAGCGATAATAAAACCATGATTAATTAGAAAATAAGATTTTTGACTCCCATTTAAACATTTTAAACATAAAATACTTATCTTTTAAGTGTTAAAACTATAGATTGTCAAGTTTAACCTACTGACTTCGTAAAAAAAAATACATATAAACAAACAAACAAATAGTACCAGAACCGAACTTTCATTTATACAACGATTACTTTTTTCTTTCTATTTTCTCATTATTATTTATTGTATTCAGGTTTTTCCCTTTAATACTATTTTATTAATAATGCTGCCCCTATAATAAATGCCATGTGATTGATGAAGGATAATACGACTTAAGCTTTCAATGTTCTGTGTAAACGTCAACAGTAACAATACCTTCTCTTAAATTGTATTTAGCTTTTTCTGTGCAGATTTCTTCCAAATGTTTTTCTGTTGCAAACATTTTACAATTTTACATACATTATTTTTTTTTGTTTTTTTAGTGAGTACAATATTATAATATATCATAAAAAACACTGAATTTCTACATATTAATTCTGTATTCTTTATAATATACTTTATCTAGCTAAACACTTTAAAGAATGATTTAAAAATTATTTTTTTACGAGTACATACATTATTTAATTAAAGAGCCACGTAGTCAGTGTGTCCTGTACATAAAGGTGGTGGCGGTGGTGGCGGTATATCGTCGGAAGATTCGCCACTATTGGAGAGAGATGACAAGTTTGTACAACTTCCCGTTGCTGTTATTCTCGGGCCCATGTTATCATAATGAGGCATTACTGATTTGATGGATTGATGGTCTATTATTCGTTTTTTCCTCGGCATAGTGGCGTAGTATGATGAAGCCTGTGGAATATGATGGGTTGAGCTGGTACCAACACTGACGCTTTGTTTTTGTCTGTGCTTCATGTCGAGTAAGTCGGGATACCTAGATTCAGGGTCAGGTGGTTCTTGGCTCACCGATACTGAAATAAATATATTTCCGAAACCACTGACTGATGGCAGAATACTAGTGGAAAATTCTGGTGGCGGTGGGTACAGTGACAGACTAGAGTTGGGGTCATGACTCTCAATAGTTATGTGAACCGGTTGTTGGTCGCACACGGAGGCCAATGGGATGTTCTGTAATGACTGTTCAATGAGCTCCAAGTCTTGGCAAGAAGATCCGCCAAGCATTTCACAGCTTCCAGCTTGTGTAGTCGATATGCTTGCGTCGAGAAGTCGTTTGTCCGCATCGCTGAAACTAGTACTACCTTTAAAATTAGTCTTGCTATCGCGTCGTCCCCCAGATTTCTTGGCTTGGCATACACAACATGTCAAGCCAATCACGAATAATAGGACCGTTGCACTAGCGGCTACACATACTATGACCAAGTACATAGATTTAGATTTGCTTAATGTCGTAGCGACTGCTACTTCTGGTAAGGCTAACGACACATTGGCTGACATTTGTCCACGTGAATTCCTAGCTTCACATGTAAATTCGCCAACCACGTCTGAAACATTAAATATGTTGAGGGCACTCCACATTCGATTGTTATCCAGCCACGTACGATTTTCGTCCATTCGATCGGTATAGTTATCGATAGTATGTCCATTGAAATACCAGCTGACTTCTGGCTCAGGATCTCCTGTCACTTTACAAGTAAAAGTAATATTACCAGCATCTTCTAGTACACTGTTCCTGTCAATTTTGACTACTGGAGGGCATGCAAACTCTGGTGGTTTTATGTTCTCCCACCGACTGCCCGACAATACATTCGGCTCAATACACGACAACGGATGTGAATATAAATTTGACGAAACAAACCAGTTTCGAAAACTTCTTAAATGGCAATCACACACCCACGGGTTTCCATCCAAAGATAAAGTTTTTAGTTTAGATATAGGCAAGAATACAGTTTCTGATAACCACTTCAATAGATTTCCGTTTAAATTTAATGACTCCAACGAGGACAAGTGCAAGAAAGCATCTCTATGAATTCGTTTGATTTGACAGTGTTGCAGTTCTAGTGTTCGAAGATGCTGTAAGACGGGAAATTGAACTTCTTTAATTTCAGTTAATGGATTTCCATTCAAATATAGTACACGGAGTCGTTCATTTCCCTGAAATGTCTCCTGGTGCAATGAACCAATCAAGTTATCGCTGAGATCTAGTTCTACGAGTATTTTTAGTTCTCTAAACGCGTCTTTATGAACTTTGTGTATTCCGCAACCACGTAGGAATACTCGCTGCAGATTGAGTAGACCTACTTTTTTAAACGCATCCTCCGGCAAGTGTCGTAGATTATTGGAGCTCAGATCAAGTACCTGCATGTCTGCATCTAGCGATAAAGGTATATCGGTAAAATCGGCATCTTTGCACAATGCAGTTTTTTTCCCCGAACTCCACTTGCATTGACACGGGGTTGGACAATCGGCCCAATCTCCAAATGTTGTTCCACAATACACCAACACCATGACGATCAGCTGCACTGGCTGGCCACCGGGCATGGTCCACGCATTTGGTCATCTTATGTTCAGTACGTGTTGCCACATAGAGTCCTCCTGGAAATATAACAATTTATATTAGTTAAATAAGTTTATATATTTTTGCGTATTCAATGTATGCATAACTTGGAATAACTGGAATTAATAGAAAATTTATGTATTTTTATCAATATTAGTGTTTAAATATTTATATCATACAAATAATATACTTAAATCATCACTTATCCTAGTCAATTTTTATTATACTAGGCATAATAATATTTTTTTAAATTTGTTTTGAATTCTATTATACGATTCTATAAACTTCATGTAACAAGAGAAAAACAATCTATTTAAATTTTTTTTTTTATTTCGTATTTTATTAAATTAACATTTAATATAGGTAATGTGTTGAATACATATTAATCAATATTAAATATAATATACTCTTGTTGATATACACTTTATATCCATTAACATTACTGTAATGTAACTTCTCAATTATTCCTAACTTTGTGACTATCATTCTAATATTAATTAACTAAATACATAAGTAAATAAATAATAATTAGATAAAATAACTATTTTTATTGTGCATCCAAAATTATGAAATCAAATTTCTATATTTAATTAAACCAGTCATCATAATATTTTAATTTATCTTTGTTAAATTTTTTAATTATATTCTATTATATTATTTTGATATTCTCAAGAATAATTTTTCTCTAATCTATATCTTTAAATAAGTTAAAATATTTCATAAAGTTTGGTAAGAATAAATTGTTATTTCGTTTTGGCAATAGACTCTAGCACGTGCCCCAAAGAGTACGACGATTGAAATCAGCTGTTGTACCCGTGGCCTTATTTCCATCACTGTTTCTTAGAAATGTATATGGAATGAAAAAAATCGAAGCAACGGGTAACAAACCAATGTATTTTATTTACCTGATATAAAATAATATAACAGTAAGAATCACTATATCACAAATAGTTCACTTGTATTCTTAAATGACAAAATATGAAATTAATTATTAACTGTTATAAAAGTGTGAACAAATTACAAATTTAAATATTTCAGAATGAAATCTTTATTTTTTGAAATAAAATATTTTTGTAACAACCAATAATTTAACTATATTAACTTCTTCTAGTTAATAGAATTTTTTGTCCTTTGAAAATTATACACAACAGATTACGTTACTTTGTATATAACATACAAAAATATACTGTCATTTATTATATTATGTTATTGAATAATTTAATTCTAAACTTATCAAAAGAAAAAAAAACATTATATAATATTTAAATGTTTTTTTTTTAAATTGAATTATCAAGTTCAATTTATTTGCATAAAATATCTGTCTGTTTAATAAAAAATGTAACAGGTATAGCTCAGAAGCTTTTTAATTTAATAATATTATAATTAGATTTAAAATATTATGTAATTGTACAAATAATAGGTGAACCTATAATTAAAACTGTTTAACTATAATTATGCGTTATTATCTATTTTATTATATTATCGTATATATTTATAGAATTTGTAATTATAACGACTGAGTTTCGTGTTTTTTTAAATTATTTTAACCTTATTATGAATCAAAACTTGGAATGCGATATTTTTACAAATATATTTATGTGAACATTGTTATTTTCTATTTATTACAAATCAATCATAATAGTAATACACAGCAGATTGATTTGGTTTTATCATTATCTATTGCTTGTACACAGAGTGATTCACCAAGTATGCTCACCCAATTTTTTTCTTTAATAATGAACTTATTTAAATTCTGAAATCAGTACACTATCCTGTAGTCCTCTAGAGCAACAAATTGATGTTTTGTTCAAATGAGAACAGTCCTCTTTTTATTATAAGTGAATGATTGAATATTTTTTTTCAAAATTCGAATGAGAAGTTTCTTAGTTGTTGAAATGCTTGTATTTAGGATAATTTAGGATAATAGTTCTTAAAACTAGTTTCACATAAATATAAAAGAGACGTAAAATTGGATCTAGTATTTACTATACTATTTATAATAGATCCATTTGTACAAACTATTAATGTCGATACATTAATATTAATGAAAACCATTTTCAAATCACCATATTCCCCATATCCTATAAACTCATTACTATAGACCTTTTATCCTTATAACTCAAAAGCTACTGAATGAATTTTTATTTTTATACGTCAACAATTTCAAAAAAAAAATATCTGCTGTATAATTTACAGTTGAATGGGAGTGTTCTCATTCGAAAAACAGAAGTTTATATCTTCACAGGACATTCTTTAATTATTACTAGTACCAAAAATCTCAAGAATCTGAAAATATGGTTTTAAAGTATATTTAAAAATTAAAAAAAATTAAAGTAGATTTTGCAAATTTTTAATAACTGCACTATTGAAGAAAAAGGGAGTGATCACATTTGGTGAATCAATCTGTATACATTATATTTGAATTTCTTTTTTTTAAATGTACCTATATTGTTATTTTAGAGATCAGGCATCATATGATTTGTATAATATATAGGTACCTAATATTAGTATTTGTTATGATGATACTAAAATGTTATCATTTCATTTTTAAAAATGATACATTAAACATACAATTATAAATTATTGAATGCATTTATTTTTAAATGTATTTGTATAAAACATGAATGAAATAATATAAATAATAATGTATTGTGTCTTAAGGAATGTTGGAAACTACCTACGCCTGTAACAGTAAAAACCATTCGTTTTGGTTGTTGAAAGGCTAACTGAATAAAATAAGTTCAGATTTCCCTACAGGCTTACAAGATTCGTGATTTCGTTATGATATTATATTCGTCAGTTTATCAGGAAACCAAACATTAACAAAGCAGAGCACGATGCATTTAAAAACAGGTATGATATCTGATTGCACTATTGTTTTTGCGTGGTCAAAGTTTTCTTTTTTCTTCATTTGTGCCAGAATAAAATCAAACACTTATACTAACATCGAAAAGTTTCAAGGAAATGTACATTTTCTATAGAAATTAATATATTTCCCTGTAACCGAACTGAATTTGAAAAGCTGCTTGTGTTCCCAATACTTTATTTTACTGTAAATACACCGAGTTGGATGAAAAAAAAAAAAAATAAGTTTGGAGAAGATCGTGAAAAAAATAATATTTTGATAGGTTGAATGGGTTTTTAGTAAAGTTCATACACTAGACGCAATATGTACGACCATAACTCAAAAGCAGCAATATCTAATTCACAATCATTAACTTCGACATATAATATCAACATATTAATTTAATAAATTATGTACATAATAATATAATATATATATCCTATAGTCTACAGTTCAAAGTCATGAGTGTAATTACTATATACCTACTCATTATTTCTTTTTATAATAACAAACTGTATATATTCGCGCCATATTATACTGGCAGAAATTAAAAATGTTTATCGTAGCTCGTGGCCTTCGTTATACATGCACTCCGATGTAACATTACTGTCAGTGACAACAGTATTATACTCGTAGTATAATATATATAATATAATATATTGGAGGTAGTTTTGCACATTGCATGTTAGCTATGGGTACATATTTTGTTGTAGACATTACTACATCAGTAATGACTAATATTATATAGTTTATTCATATTTCACACCATATATAATCAACAGACAAATTTTAAACACAATGTTAGGTTTCCTCATATTAGCATTTTTCAGAATAGTGACAATGAACCGAAAGTTAGGTAATAGTAATGTTTATTTATTTTCCTACTCTAGTTTTAAAGAAAACATTTTACAGAAGGTGGGCACTTAGGGCTGAGTGGTAGTGAGAGTTCATAACAGTAATCAATTTAGAATATTAAGTTATACCTACAATATACATACGGAAAAAAAACTATGATATGAAAATTGAAACTATATTTAAAAATAAAAAGTTATAAATAACCTACCAGTTATGATTATATGTAGGAAAATTAAAAGTGAAATAAGTGAATTGTTCAATATTTTTTAAAATTTATTTTCATACTATAAATTATTTGTAAATTGTTATTACATTACGTAAACGTAATTTATTATAAATTAGGTAATGAAATGCATAAAATGTAACATCCTTGTAACTTAACTTTTTACTTAAGTCGTGAATTAAACAATTTAAATTTTAGTTCATATATTTTATGTATAATGTTTATTGTAGAAACATTCTACAAATTGTATGAAAATCGAATTCAAATTTATATACCTATATGTATATTAGTGACATTGCAAATAAAACACTCCGTATTTAAATTTACAAATTTACTTTTAATACGAAAACTATTTATGATTATTCAGCTACTTTAATTATTCAAGAAGAATTAGTTTGAGTGAAATTACAAACATTCTGTATGTGATTAGTTTTTAGTTCTATTTTTCGAATGATAAAGTTTATAGGGAGACAAGAGATCACTGTAGTTACTATACTTTGTGACTGGATAAACCACTGTGGAGATTACCACGAGACACAAAGTAATTTTGAAAAGAACACTACATCTAAGAGGAATTGGTAAAATAATACAATTTGACGAATGACTATTACGTGGTGAGAGAAAAATAACAAGGGATGTCTCTGATATGCCGATTTAAAAGCTGCACTCGTATCTATGATGATGATCGTTCAAGTGAAGTTTTATACAGTTGTATTGTTATTACTCTATTGGTAAAAACTACATACATAATACTGTAATAGTACAATGCACACATTTGTTCGAACAGTGTATATGTGGTAAATCTTGCAAAGTTGGTAGGTTTTTAATTTTAATTAGCGTTATTGAATTAAATATAAAATCGTTTAAGTACTTAATAATTGACCTAGCCAATTGTGCAACGTTAATCGATTTATGAACATATTATATGTATATCAAAAAAAAATCATTACTTCATACTTGTAATTAAAAAAAAAAATAAACCGCCTGATAACCATCTGTCGCAAATTTTATTTTCAATAATATTTATTTAATATTCCGATATCTATTAATTTAACAATGTGACCCAAACATAATATAGAACGTGCGATATCAACGAATTAAAAAAAAATCTTTTT